TCGCCGATTCCCTACAGTGAATCGGCGAGTCACTGTGCGGAATCGTCCGGTTCTCTCTAGAACCGGACGATTTCCGATTTTTCAATCGATCCGGTTCCTTTTTACGAATTTCGAGTCGAACCGGGCGAGTCCAATTCGACTCGGCGTTTTTTAAAACGCTGGTTTCATGTATTTTTCTCCCTAAACTAACGGGTCTTTTTTTGGCGAGGGGATTTAGTGAGGGCTGCGGTTTGTACAGGGCCTATGCTCTAAACAATCAAATTAGAGCCGACCTTCAATTAGTGTTGAGACATATGGTTTCAATAATGAAAATCTTTGTGATAGCTTTAAAATATGATTTTATCTTTATTTATAAAGTGTAAAGTTTCAAAAATAATATAAATTGATAGATTTATGAAAATTTAAAAATCTTGAAAATTAATGGTCAAAAAATATGTTATAAAATACATTATTTTCAAACATTAAAATCTATTTATTTCTCATATCGATACATCTTAATGTGAGACGATCAATTTGATGATATTTAAACATCAAAAAAACCCTTTCAAGTAAAATATTTGTTGTGGGCTCTATTAAACTTTTTTTTTTTTTTGAAAGGAAAAGGTTTAAGAATAGAGAAGATGGGTTGCATTACCCCAAATAAAACCAAAAAAGACCGTCCAGTGACAGGTTCACCATCTCATATTGTTTGGAGATGTGATTTGTATCCTAGGGTTATCATTTGGGTCATTTTATATATATATATATATTATTTATTTTATTTTATTTTTTATTTTTTTTTGAGATGTGATTTGAATCTTACGGTTATCATTTGAGAAGGTCTCACGTCCTCATTACTCATGAAGATAAATATTCATCAATATAAATATATGGAAAGGGTAAAAGGGCAGCAGTCACACCACAAGTTACAAGTCCCTTCCTTTTCAACCCACAGCCCCCTTTCTTCTTTCTTGTGTTCCTTCTTCACAACTCCTGCTAATTGGAAACAGGATTGAAAACAGGAAACAGCTGAGTTTTTCTCCTACCCTGTCTCCTCAAATCTTTCAAAAACACAAATTAATTTCCTGAAGAAGAGAAAGCAATGGCCACCGACCCTTGGGTCGCCCTTCACCTTGAAAGAGACGATTTGGTTGCTGATTTCTTGGTTCGAATGTCACAGGGTGACGCGCAGGAGCCACTTAGCCCCAATCAAGGCGTTCCTCCGCCTCCGCCTCCGCCTCCACGACCACGGTTGCCACCACGGCCGTATTTTGAGCTTCCACTTACAGATTCCTGTCGAAGTTGGGGGGTTAAGAGGCGGCGGTCAGGCATAGAGGAGACTGGAAATCTTACCCATGGGATGGGGCGGTCAGGCATAGAGGAGACTGGAAATCTTACCCATGGGGTGGGGCGGTCAGGCCATGGGGCTGGGAATCTGACCAACATAAAGGATGGGGGCGTCGTGCAAAAGCTAGAGGAGACTGGAAATATTACCCATGGGGTCGGGCGGTCAGGCCATGTGGCTGGGAATCTGACCAACGCAAAGGATGGGGGTGTTGTGAAAAAGCCATCGAGCCCTTTGTCCCCGCTCTTTTGGGGTGCTGCTGCGGATTGTGCTGCTGCTGATTGTGGCAATGGAAATTGGTCAGATTCATCAACCCATCGCAGTGCTGTGCTGTCTGTTAAGGTTTGGGTTTTTATCCACCACTGGTTTACTGTATTCCTCCTCGACTCCTCTTTAAATAGCTTTAACTGATTCTTTTTTTTTAGTCTCATCTGCCTTTCTTGGGTTTTTTTTTTTCTTTTCTTTTTCTATTTTCTCTCCCTTGGTGGTTCTGTGCAATTTACTGTTTTCCCTCTTGATTCTTTGTTTCTGATCCTGTGTACCTGAGTGATTATAATCTAATTGGAACTTCTAGTTTGACCTAATAATAATTACTAGTGGAGGTGGAGGTGAGGTGGAGGAGAAAACAGCTCAGTTCCTGGTTCTGAATTTCACTCTTTGTTTTTTTTTTTCTTCTTTTGCGGGTTTAGATTGTGGGGTTCTTTTCTTTTCCTGATCTTTTGCGGGTTTAGATTGTGGGGTTCTTTTCTTTTCCTGATCTTTTGCGGGTTTAGATTGTGGGGTTCTTTTCTTTTCCTGTTCTTTTGTTTAGATTGTGGGGTTCTTTTCTTTTCCTGTTCTTTTGCGGGTTTACGGGTTTAGATTGTGGGGTTCTTTTCTTTTCATGTTCTCCTTGTGGCGTGGCATTGTTCATCGCCTTTTTATCGGATGACAGTCGATATCTGGTTCTGGGTCATCCCCTCTGGGTCATCGCCTCTTTATCGGATGACAGTCGCTTCTCTCTCTGGTGGTTCGTTTATGTCGTTTCATGTGGTGGCCCCAACCCACACAGAGAGCAGAGAGAGAGAGAGAGAGTATCAATGGGTGAAGTATGAGAGTTCGAAATCAGGAAGACGGTTAGACAGAGAGAAAGGAGGGTTAGAGAGAGAAAGTTCCGGAGTCACTCTCCTCATAGAAGAGTGAGAGAGGGGAGAATTTCGTGGAGTGGGTAAAGGTGGAAACTGGAGAGACCGTTTACTTTGTTGGTTGGTGGGCTGAGGTCTCACAGAGACGTGGGTGGGGTAGAGAGAGAGAGGTGGTTTGGGTAGAGAGATAGAGATAGAGATAGATTCGCTTTGCGGAGATGGAGAGAGCTGTAGAGGGAGAAGGAGAGATTTGTAGAGAGAAGAAAGAGAGATGGGAGATGGAGAGAGTTGTAGAGAGAGAGAGAGTTGTAGACAGAAAGAGAGCGATGGGAGAGAGAGATAGAGAGATTTGTAGAGAGGGAAGGAGAGAGATTTGTAGAGAGCGAAAGAGAGAGAGATGTAGGGTTGGGTTGAGGTTTGGTCTTTGACGGAAACGGGTGTTCTTGAACGCGGACGTGGTTTGTTATACCCAACTGTCAATTATATTAATTAATTAATAATTTTTTATCTTTTTATGCCGATGTTAATACCCTTTCTTGTCGGCGTGCCTAAAGCTCTCGCCACCAAATAAGGACGGTGTTCTCTTCCTTAAATTTTGTTGTTATCTACTTCTTTTTTTTTATTGTTGGATGCTCCCTCGGGAGCATTTTGTACATATACTCCCTCGGGTAAACCATTGGGGGACTTTTTTTTGGATTTTAAATTTCGGTATCAATCCAATCAGAACTAGATGATTATTTTCAAATGAAAAACATTTAGATTTTGAGTTCACAATCATCGAGATCATTCCCTCATAAAATTGGACGGTTCTGGAATCTTGACGTCCTTTGCAGGATATTTTATCTCCAAAATTTGAGATGAAAAAAAAGGGAAAAGTTTATATGGAGCCGAAGCTCTAAACAATCAAATTTGAGCCTACCTCAAAAATTTCACTGAAAGAGGTTATTTTGATGTTCAAAATATCTTCAAATTGATCATCTTGACATCAAGATGCATGGACATAACAAAAAAATTGATTACAAGTTTTGAAAATAGTGTATTTTGTAACACATTTTTGGACCGTTAATTTTCAAGATTTTCAAGTTTACATAGATATATCGATTTACACTAATTTTGAAGCTTTGGACTTATAATTAAATATGAAAATATATTTTAAGGTTATCACAAATATTTTCGATATTAAAACCATATTTCTCGATACTATTTGAAGGTAGGCTCTAATTTGATTGTTTACAGCCTAGGCTCTATACAAACTGCACCCAAAAAAGAATCCTTTTGAGTAAGTTTTGATTGAGGGAGTAAATGGATCGTAGCGCTCGAGTAGGAAATCGTTTGCCCTTTTTTTTTTTAGAGTTATTAATGTTTTATGTCGAAATATTGGACATTTCGCTGTAGTTCTTAAAAGAAAAAAGAAAAGGCATAAAGGATTCATAATATCCCAATATCCCCAAAATATGAGATAAAAATGAATCCTTATGAGTAAGTTTTCACCGAGGGAGTAAATGGATAGTACACTCCTGTGGGAGTTGGAAATCATTTGTTTTTCTTTTATTTTTTTGTGAGACATTTCCCGATGGAAAACGTTTATATAGAGCCCAGGCTCTAAACAATCAAATTCGAGCCCACCTCAAAAATTTCACTAGAAGAGGTTATTTTGATATGCTCAAATTTACTCAAATTGATCCTCTCAACATTAAAATTCATATACATGAAAAAAAAATAGAATTCAAATATTGGAAATAGTGCATCTTGTAATGCATATTTGGACCGTCAATTTTCAAAATTTTCAAGCTCTTTATAGATCCGCTCAAACTACACTGTTTTTTTTAAGCTTTCAATTTTATAATTAGAGATAAAAATATATTTTAAGGCTTTCACAAAGATTTCCCATATTCAAACCACATTTCTTGTCACTATTTGAAGTACTTTGATTGTTTAGAGCCTCAGCTCTATATAAACTGCACCCTTTCCCTATAGTTCTTAAAAGAAAAAAGAAAAGGAATAAAGGCCTCATGATGTAAAACATGTTGTTTTCCACTATGGTTTAAAATTTTTAAGCCGTTACTTATTTCTTACTTGTCCCTTTTTTTTTTTTGTAAGATTTATTTCAAATTTCCTTTTCCTTGAGATTTTGTCTTTCTCAACAATATTTTCCCCTTATTTTTCTTGAATTGCTGAGGAATTATTTTTTGATTTTTAAATATATATATATTTTTGGGGTTTTTCAGGTTCCTGTAGATGCGGGCCCTAGTAATGGTAAACCACCCATTAAGCGACCCTCCAAGAAGAAGGTATGCAATGTTAGCTCTTTTTTGTTTTCTTAATTCATTTTTGTCTCTAGAACTATTTGAGTGGGTCTTATCTCTTGATGAGCAATGTATTAAACTCGATAGACATCTGATGAACTCAATGAAGAGGTTAGTGCGCTGTTGCGGAAGAAGATGGAGTTGGAGAAGGTTTGTTTTCTTTTTGAGTGTGACATTTTTATCCCAATTCTATTTTATTTTCTTTTGAGGTTATTCAAGGAGTTCGAATTTCTGATTGAACAGAGTGTGGAGGACTTGCGGAATCAGCGCAAATGTCTAAGCGAGGAAAACATAAGCTTGAAGAAGAAGCTCAAGGTGATTGACCTCTCTCTATGCTTTCTCGCATTTTTCTTGGTCGAACTTCGTAAAGGACTAATGAAATTATTGTTCTATTTAGGAAAATGAACTGCTGTTCTGCTTCCAGTTAAATTTTATTTTAGAAACATGTGAAGGAATTATGAATTTATGATACTACTATTCGTGCAAATTGATTGTCTTTATGCTCTTCAATAGGTCTTTTACAAATTTGCCAAGAATTATGACATTATGGTTAAGAATCTGTTTATTAAATGTGCTTTGTGTTTCGCTGCTGTGCTGCATGGGAAGCATGAAGCATGTAATATGGGTCAAAGGCTGGCACATTGGAAGAAACCTAGGCAGTTTTTGGAATAAAATCTGGCAGTTAATCACCAAATTCCATTTCTGTCGACCACATTGCTTGAGCTTTGATATGGCTGTTATGTCCATTTTCCCTTAATGTAATTACATTTAGCATTTCTTTAAAGGATTGTATACTGTAATACGTGTAGCTTATGAGAAGTAAGCAACATGCCATGTCAAATGTACATTGTCAACATATAACATTTGAGATGGAACATTCCTCTACAGAGCAGATATTGCGGGACTGGAAAAGAAGGAATAATTTAAATCAACCATCCATTGTTGGCAACATGGGGTTAAACTAATCTATAGCTTATTGATCTGATACAACATGCACCATGTTATACTTTCCATTACTAAAAATAAAGCATGAAAATAATGAATAGATGAGTTGTAAGATACTATATTATTTTAATTCACGTGCTTTTGGTTTTTTATCTTGCATACTCTATTATTTTGGTTAGATATTGTAGAATTTTAACTCATATGTCTTTTGCATTATCTTTTTTGTCTTGTTATTTTATCATCCGCAATTGTCCTTTCTATGTTTTCTTTGGTATGATACTTTATTTTTGGTTTCACGGTCATTTCATTCAACGTACGTGTCAACAACGTGGGAATGTAGTGTTAGAATGTCATCAAGATTTCCGCTATGTATTTTCGATATGCATTTATTAGTTTTCATTTTTTCTTCTATGTTTGCAGAACATGCCTTTTGAGCATGATCATAAATGTTTTAGTTGTTTGCAGAACATGCCTTTTGAGCATGATCATAAATGTTTTAGTTGACTGTAATAACAGTGATAGCATCCCTCTCCCTTCAATGCTTTTCACAAAGATTTTTACCTTAGAATTCCAAGATGAAAACCAACCACTAATTCAGCATGGAAAAGTGTATTAAGATGCACGAAGCATAGCTGCATATCATCATATACTGCAGTTATCTCCAACATCCATACTCAACAATAGACGATGGAGATCTGCTACTCTTTTGTTCAAGAGGATAATGGCAGATTTGAGCAGAAGAATGGCTCATCTGAGTATCGCTCCCTACCTTTGAAGTGGGTTGTACAATGCTTTTCATCTTTATTCTTTACTCTGGAATTGCTCGTACAATCACATATTTGATGCTATACTTCTGTGGGTAACTGCATCTGATCACAGTTTCCCAGGGTTCTCTGTATTATGACTAAAGACTCCTGTTATGGATGCGATCGCTCACCATACGTAGCTAAATTTTTCTTTTGATATTTTAATAGCTAAATTTAGGATGATATTTCCCCATGCTTTTCTTTTGATATTTTAATAGCTAAATTTAGGATATCACCAGGACACAAAGCTTAGTTTTTAGAAGTTTTTAGGTAACTTTGTCACTAAATGTCTCCTGCACTTTAGTAGAGCTTGGTGCCCCCTCTTTCACATACTCCTTTGTCGGATCTATCTGAAAATGCTCTTGTTTTGTAAGCCAAATGCACTAAGTTTCTCAATGTGTATGTACTATTTACATCTCTTGAGGTCATAATACCCTTTGCTCATTCCTGTCTATAGGTTCTTTCAAATTTAGATCTAATTGTGGATCTATGCCACTCTGTTACATCTGATATTCCTTTTGCTGTATATATTGGTTGCCTCTCTCTCTCATGCTTGATAACAGACAGACCATCCTACCTGCTACGTGTCGGTCTTAATTACAACATCATCTAACAACATCGGTTGCCTCTCTCTCTCATGCTTGATAACAGACAGACCATCCTACCTGCTACGTGTTGGTCTTAATTACAACATCATCTAACAACATCAATTACAACATCATCTAACAACATCAATTTACAACATCATCTAACAACATCATCTAACGTATCAATTACAACATCATCTAACAACATCATCTAACGTATCGTCGCACTACTTGTTGAAAGGAAAAATGACTTTCATCTGTTGAGTTGCGCAGCTTAGACTATTTGATCGCTGTGCTACACTACCACCTTAGACCATTTGAATCTGTAAATTGGAAGCTAATGTACTACTGATTGTGGCTGAGTAAATGCAGCTTGTTTTGGTGAGTGTTTCTCATTCGTCATGTGGATTTTGCTTTTAATGTTGGGCATGACTATGCTTATCTAATTATATCTTGCCAACAATGTATCTACTTATGTGTGTTTTCATATCTATATGGGATAAAGGCATGCATGGTTTATGGGAAATCTACTATATATGGAATCACTTTCTCAAGATTCCTTTTCTGAATCATTAAGGTGAATGAAATTGGGCGTTGTTCTTGAGAATTGAGATTGTATTTCCGTAGTTTCTTTCTCTTATTGTTTCACACTTTCTTGAAGGAAATAGGTGATATAGCACAATCGTCGTGCGACTCATTTAATTTTAACCATGTTTTCTTTCAGATTGAGACTTCAGATCGCGTTCCATTTCTTGACTTGAACGTCCCCCTTACAGATTTAGAGTAGCTATGCCGAATTAGTCCAGTTGATCGTATTGGATGCAACATGCACTTGGTGCTATATGAGAAGCCGCTATATGAGAAGCCTCAACTGTACATAGTACACATGCATCTCATCCATGCACCAGTGGAGATTGACCAAATTTTTGGAGTGTTCTCAGACTTCCTCTTTGGTCTTGATAGGAGTTAAGTACTAGAGATGGAGATATAATATATATATATATATATATATATATTATATACATTGGCAATTTTTGGAGTGGCTCGTGGCAATAATTTATTTGCGCTTTTCATATTAACTGATGACTGCAACATTCTAATTTTTTTCAGGTAGTTATTGATAATCAATAAAATTATTTATTTTTTCGGTTTTGGATGCTTATTCTCTGTTTTTCTGATCTTATCTTACACTCTTGTTTATGACATTCTAATTTCTTTGGTGGGTTGTCGTCAACCATACTCAACCATACAAACAGTTGATTCATTTTCTTTCTGGTTTGGGTTCACCTCTAATGCTCTCCTGTTTGTTATACATGTTTATTGGAAAAGAAATAGAACCAGGGGACTAGGAATATGACTTGCACATTGGTATAGCATGCATGAGAATAGCTCATTATAAACGGACATTTATAGCATCGCAATGTGGGGCTTGCTATAGAAAGTGCTTGGTAAAGCAAAGCTTGAAAAGATCTCATTATAAATGCTCATGTATAGTATCGCATTGTGGGGCTTGCTATAGAAAGTGCTTGGTAAAGCATGCTTGAAAAGATCTCATTATAAATGGTCATTTATAGTATCGCATTGTGGGGGTTGCGATAAAGGATATAAAAGAAAATTTCAAGCTCCACAAAAAATAGTATTTTGTAACGCAGTCTGGTAGTATTAAGTATTTACATATCAAGTATACGAGGAGACCATTTACCTACAAGGTGGTCACAATTAATCTTAGCCATTAGAAGTGAAATTGGGTGGTTGCATTTATTCTATTGCTCAAGCTCAAAGTTTAAAAGAAGTTTTCTTGAATACACTCAAGCTGTTAGATTTTACATCGGATGGTTATAATTAATTGTGACCTTGTACTAAAGATAAATAGTCTCATTGTATACAATCCTTTATGTATCTGCACTATTTTTTGAAGCTTGAACTATTTTTTGAAGCCTCAGGTATCACAGTTGCATGTGACATAAGTTTTTAGGCCATTAATAGTTTAATTACATTTTCAGTAGGGTTAGGCTTTGAGGTGCAGAGAAAAAATACAAAGCCACTTCTTTACGCTAACCTCTCCCTGTAACAAAAAGAGCATATTGTGATTGCATTTTAAATCGATTCCCATAACAATCACTGTTACATTTCCCTAATCAATACATGCAACCCCCAAAATTAAGCCCATTAGGCCCCTAGTGGAGTGAAAACTTTTCAACTTGCAAAGTCCATGATGCCTCTTGGAGCTCGATTTCCTTTTCGGGTGCGGTTTGTATAAGGTGACAATGTTTCAGTGGCAAAAATCTTTGTGCTGGCCTGAATTTATTTTGTCTAATTATAAAATATAAAGTTTAAAAAAAAATCTAGCAAATCTATGAATACTTAGAAATGTTTAGAAATGGAAATGTCAAAGTGACAACTCAGATAATGCATTTCAAAATACACCACTTCCCAGACGTAATATCCATTTTTACATGTCGAAACATCTTGAGGTTGAGATGATCGATTTGAGAGTTTTTAAACATTGAAGCAACCTCTTCTAGTGAAATTTTGAGGTGGCTCTAATTTGACTAATCAAGGCCTCAACCTTATATAAACTTTTCCCTTTTCACAAAGCCCACATTCATACCTTGACAAATCAACTTGTTCTATGTCAGTATTTAAGCCCAATGATAAACCATTTTGATGCTTCATGTCAACAAACGCTAATGTCAATAATATTGTCTCATCGTATTTATTTGAAAAGAAAACATCTTAGATGATTATTCAATCCTAGGTATTATGGCGATGTGAAAAGAAATAAATAGCAGATAATAATTTCATTAGGATTGATGGAAAATAAATGTACGACGGAAAGAAGGGTACCACAAAAAGAACTATAGTGGTCTTTTGAGATGGTTTTAAATAAAATGCCATAAACTCAAAGTAAGTGGTCTTTTGAGATCATTTTATTTAAGTGGTCTTTTGAGATCATTTTAAATAAAATGCAGAGTGCTTTAAATTATGTTTCTAAAATATGGGGGAGTTGAAGATCCAGATCGGAAATCAATAGAAATCTGTGTTCAAGAATTTGCCTAAATCTATCCGATTTTAATTCGACTGATTTTGTCATAGAACTAGTGAAGTTGGATTATTCGGTCGTATGATCCGAATAAGCGATCACGTAACCTAAAAACAAAAAACAAAAAAGGATCACCATTTCTCTCTTGTTTCTTCACCATTTTTTGTGATTCTTGTTCCGAAATCTTTGTATTTTAGGCATCTTTTATATGCACGTGTACTAAATATTAATCACTAAAATAAAATTTTAATATTAAATAGACATATTCATTTATAGAGATAGTAACAGAGAGAATTTGTTCAATCCACATTCATATATCCGCTTCTATTAGATAGTAATTTTTTTATTTTAATTATACTATTCTCTAACCCACTCTAAAATTATTATTAATAATATTAATAAATTTATTATTCACTTATAAGTAAATATTATTCTAGAAAATTAGAAAAATAAAAATGCAATTTTTTTTCTAATTTGGAGGTCTTAATAATATTAGTAATGATAATATTTGTAAGTATGATTGTAGTATTATTACCTTACTAAATTCTAATTTACTTTCTATAATATGATTGATTGTACTTTAAAAAAAAAAGAACAAGGATTTTACAGTGGGTTTTAAAAATTTTAAATAAATAATATTGTCTTCCATATAAGACTCGAAACTATAAAACTAAAAATAAATAAATAAAAAATATTAAATTTAAAACATTTGGAAATATGTAATAAAAATATATACTTTTAAGAAAATTAAAATTATTAAATTATAAAATAAAGCAATCATTTAAAAGTTCTAATAAAAATACTTCCATGGAAAATAAATTTATTTTTTATAGCTTTAAAATATATTTTAAAAATTAGCCATTAATGAAATAAATGAGCATGAAAATTCATAATCTATTTTTTTAAAGAATTTTAGTTTATAGTGATGAGCCTTATATCAAAGACAATGTTATTTATTTAAAATTTTTAATATCCAATAGTAAAAATATGTTAAAAATAATATAAACCCATCATCGTAAGATATAAATAACAAATTAGCATGACAATAATGCTATATTTATGAATATTAATTATTAGTAATATTATTTTTGAATATCTACATTAAATTAAACACTACTTATCAACTAAAAAAAGAAAACATTACTTATTAAATTAAACACTACTTATCAACTAAAAAAGAAAACAAGCCATAAATGCAAAAAACTATAGCAATAAACAAATAAAAAAAGTTAGAAACAGATAAATGAGAAAGCTAAAGGGGATATATATATATATATATTATTTATTTATTTTCTATTTATTCCTTATGGAACGTTGAATAGCCTTGCTTGGACCTTTGAGTTGTTTCTCTTGTGATAAAGAGGGACACGTGGGATGATTGAAACAGGGAGAGATGTGGAGAAATGAGTTGAATAAAGAAAATATGAAGATTTTGTTTTTCAAATTTCATTTAGGGCAGAAGAGTGGAATAATATATAAATATCTATTATCTTATATAAAATAAAAAATAATAATAATAATAATAAAATAATAATAATAATAATAAAAAGCTTGGGTCCGACAATAACTCTCTCGCACTTTATAAAGTATGGTACGGCAATCCTAACCCTTTGCCGCTGTATAAAGTACTTTGCACTTTGTAAAGTGGGTCCGGCAATAACTCACTCGTACTTTGTAAAGTATGGTAACGCAATCCTAACTCTCTACTAGTATAAAGTATGTAGTATGGTCTGCCACCGTATAAAGTATGTAGTATGGTCTGGCAGTAGAGCTCATTGTATAAAGTATTTAGTATGGTCTGCCACTGTATAAAGTAGGTAGTAAAGTATGTAGTATGGTCTGCCACTGTATAAAGTATGTAGTATGGTCTGCCAATAGAGATAAAGTATGTAGTATGTAGTATGGTATGGCAGTAGAGATAAAGTATGTAGTATGTAGTATGGTCGTAGTAGAGACCCGGTATTGTGTAAAGTGTGGTTTGGCAGTTGTAAAGGGTGGTCCGATCAATAGTAGATGTATGGTGGTCCGACAGATGTTACTTCCAAGGCTCCGACTATGTAGGCTCCGACTCTGTAGTACTCAGGGCTCAAACTATGTAAATGGAGGTTCTGCAGTACTCAGTGCTACAGTATTCAGTCAGTAGATGTTACTGGATTCCAGTGCTACAGTACTCTGTCAGTAGATGTTATTGGATTCCAGTACTGCAGCATTACTCAGTCAGTAGATGTTACTGGATTTCAGGGCAAATGGCGATGGACTCAACCAATAGATGTTATTGGATTCCAGGGCAAATGGCGATGGAGTCCGACTATGTAAATGCCAGGGGTCCGACTATGTAAGTGCCAGGGGTCCGATTATGTAAATGGCAGCAATCCGACTATGTAAATGGCAGGGGTTTGACTATGTAAATGGCGTCCGATTATGTAAATGGGAAGGGTCCGATTATGTAAATGGGAGGGGTCCGACTATGTAAATGGGAGGGGTTCGACTATGTAAATGGCAAGGGTCCGACTATGTAAATGGCAAGGGTCCGACTATGTAAATGGCAGGGGTCCGATTATGTAAATGGCAGTGGTCCGATTATGTAAATGCCAGGGGTCCGATTATGTAAACGCCAGGGGTCCGATTATGTAAATGCCAGGGGTCCGACTATGTAAATGCCAGGGGTCCGACCGACTATGTAAATGCCAGGGGTCCGACCGACTATGTAAATGCCAGGGGTCCGACCGACTATGTAAATGCCAGGGGTCCTACCGACTATGTAAATTGCAGGGGTCCGACCGACTATGTATGTAAATGGCGGGGGTCCGACTATGTAAATGGCAGGGGTCCGACTATGTAAATGGCAGGGGCTCGACTATGTAAATGGCAGGGGCCCGACCCGACTATGTAAATGGCAGGGGCCCGATCCGACTATGTAAATTGCAGGGGCCAGACTGACTATGTAAATTGCGGCCTGACTATGTAAATGGCGGCCCGACTATGTAAATGGAGGCCCGACTATGTAAATGGTGATCCTGCAGTCTACTCAGTCAGTAGATGTTACTGGATTCCAGGGCCCCGACTATATAAATGGTG